TTCTGCGATGACGCTATGAAATCGCTAGTACTCGTATCAGGCATATGCCATAAGAGAGGTGTGCCATATACGCCGCAAACGCAAGGCGCGAATGAAACACGCCATAGAAGACTTAAGTTCTTCTTGCGTACTGCATTAACTGATGATGCAGATGATTGGCCGTACCACCTTAAGTGGGTACAAACACAGATGTACGAGTGTGCTGATCCGGTTACAGGAACTACACCCGCTCACTATTTTCGTGGCAGATATAGTGAGTTACAAATACCTTTTAACAAGGACGAACCCGATCACCATGAGTTACAATGGTTAGAGAAGGTCCAACGTATTTATAACGTTGTATATCCTTGAAGCGGAACGTTAAGATTTGAATGAGTAAGTGTGAGTTAATGAGACTGCTTGGGCGCATTATTGGGCAAGGAGCTTCTCGGATTAAAGACGAGGCTGCGAAGGCACGGAGAGAAATGTGCGCTCCAAGCACGAAAGAGGAACTTCAAAGTCTCTATGCTACAGATAACTGGTGGCATCGCTATGTGCCAAAGTTCTCTCTTATCCTGCAACCTGTCGCTAAGCTGTCGAAGAAAGGAGTGACATTTAGCTGGGGACAAGAGCAAGCCTTTTTAGACGCATTGGGAGAGGCTCCACCGCTAGCGTCGCCACGGGAAGTTGTTATCCTGGTGCTACGCACAGATGCAAGTCGCATGTTTTGTGGAGCTGCGTTGTATGTAGTAGGGTTTAGGGTTCCTAGAGTACTTTGTGGACTAGGATTTTTGGACTCAGGGCTTTTCGGGCAGTGAAATCAGCCCCTTCAAAAGTTCAAATTGAACAAATAATAATGAGGCTTTGTAATTTTGTAAAATGAATTAAATTTCGACACCTCTTTTGTTTTTGTGTATTTTTTTTTAGAGAATAGTGGTTTTTTAATAGTAGGCAAATAGCAAAAATATGCACAAAAATATAATTATATTTCTTTGTTTGTTTGTTGACTTTGGGCAGCAGCCAGCATGGTAGCAGGTGAGCAGGGATCTGCAGCAGGCTGAAGGCTGGTGACCTGAGCCGGGCTGAGACCTGGGCCCTGGCCCCTCGGCCTGTGGCCCTGTGCCGTGGACCCGTGGGTTACAAAATAAAATACAAGAGTATTTATTAGTATATTCTTTGTTTTTTTTCTGTTTTTTTAAATTATTATAGATAGCTTTTTTGCCTCATTTATATGTGTATAAATATATGTACATATGTATATATATAGGCAATCAGTCATATATTTGTATATATTTATGATTTTAGAAGGCTACGTTTCTTTTTAGTTTTTAAAAACAAAATATTACTATATTAAACATAAAATCCAACCAATGAAATCTTGTACTTCTTTTTAAAGTTTTTTTAAAAAAATCAAAAATAACGGCGTCAACCGTCAGCCGTCAGGGCCAGGCGTACAACATTGTCAAATGTCAACAGCTGAATTGAGTGAGGCTGCGTACCATCCCGGGGCCGCGTTTTATTAGAAAATATTTGATCGCCGGTTTTTTTGTTGATTATGTTTTTAACAAAAACTTGAAATACGCCACGATGTTATCTCAGCCTCTTCACTCAATCTCTCACTAAATATGAGGTCGTGGAGCCCTGGAGTCCTGGATGACTGGTGGTTGGGGTGGAGCCGAGGACTCGTGGACGCGGAGTTTCAGACTCTCAGTCAAAGACTAAGAGTCACCCTCAGAGAGAGAGACTGAGAGAGACACTGGGTCTGATGAATGAGAGTATGCTTGTATTATTATTATTACTATTTTTTGAATTTATTTATTTATTTACATATTTTAAAAACAAAAAACAAACAAATCAAATATGCATCTGGACACCCATACATAAATATAATTTTTAGAGAATAAATAGATATAGTCCTCTCTTAACGGGGCCCTACTCAGTAGGCCCTCGGGCCCTACAGCCTGGGCCCACAGCCCTACTGTGATCTCGTACCCTTGGACTTGAAGTCTTTACTAGCAGTAGGGCTCTGAGTCTGAGACTCTGGGTAACTGTGGCGCCTGTGCCCTGTGCCTGGTGTCCTGCGACCTCCAAGTGTGCGATCACTGGGAGCCTGTGAGGCCGCGACTGGCACCGAGGCCTTTTCCTATGTAAATATTCTGAAGAGTAGGACTGAGTAAAAATGACCTATCACTAAACAGAAAATTTCTAAATATATCTCGTTTCCCCTTTTTTAGTAATTCACATGTGCATTTTACTGTACTCCGAAATCCGGTACCTACCTTTGTTGGAGTACCAGCAGTCCAGCAGACTATAAAATACATATATACTTATTTGGCACACTTGATTCCAAATGTGGTTGAGAATGTAGTGTTTGTTTATAATTTATCTCCGATTCGACCACTATATAGCTTGGGAACATCACATCTCTACATTCATTCCATCAATACACTGAATCAAAATGGCAGCCCCAGCAGACCCTATAGGATTCTTTAAAGATTTCGCCATCGGTGGTGTATCTGGTGCTATCGCTAAGACTTGCACTGCTCCCATCGAGCGTGTTAAGTTGATTATCCAGACACAGGATTCTAACCCCCGTATCATCAGTGGAGAGGTACCTCGTTACACTGGTATCGGTAATGCCTTCTCTCGAGTGTACTCCGAGCAAGGCTTGGGAGCCTTCTGGCGAGGAAACTTCACCAATGTGTTGAGATACTTCCCCACACAGGCCTTTAACTTTGCCTTCAAGGATTCTATCAAAACATTGTTCCCCAAGACCAACAAGGATACACCTTTCTTGACCAATCTTGGAATCAACATGGCCTCAGGGGGTCTAGCTGGTGCGGGTTCTCTAACCATTGTGTACCCCTTGGACTACGCGCGTACGCGTCTAGCTTCCGATGTTGGTTCTGGTAAGCGTACCTTCAACGGTCTAGGTGACTGCTTGAAGAAGACAGTACAGACCAGTGGAGTCCGTGGACTTTACAATGGTTTCGGAGTGTCCGTTATGGGTATCATCCCATATCGTGGCGTGTACTTCGGGCTTTATGATACCTTCAAGGAGATGAACCCCTACAAGAGGGATCGTGGAGTTCTTGGAGTTGTTTCCAAGTTCGGTGTTGCCCAGTTCACTGCCATCGCTGCTGGTTATGCTTCATACCCAATGGACACTGTCAGACGTCGTCTGCAGATGCAGTCAGATAAGCCCAAGGCCGAGTGGATGTACAAGGGAACTGTTGACTGCTTCGGTAAGGTCATCAAGAACGAAGGTGCCGCCGCACTCTTCAAGGGAGCTGGTGCCAATGCCTTGCGAACTGTAGGTTCTGCTATGGTGCTTGTACTGTACGATCAGATCAAGCTTCTTATGGAGTAAATGATCATACCCTTTATGAAGCTGCTTTCCTTGTAGGAGCCTGTGAAAATTAGCATATAGTGTACTAAATAAATTCCTGAGCCTGTGATACTGTTCAACTGTAAATTCATTGCTTTATCACGTAGTTAAATGATCAAGCTAGTTTGTAGCTTGTAATCTATTGTGGTGAACATTATCTTGAAAAGAGTGGTGTATTGTAGCAGACTTTGTATGATATCAGTATAATATTGTAGTGGACTATCTGAAGGAGTAGATCTTGTCTGATATCAATGATTTGTTAAGCTGGACCTTGATATGTGATATAATCCATTTGAAGTAAAGGCTTAACTGATATCAGTGCCTGTAACTACGATTAATCCAGGGAGTATTCGTTGATGTATTGTTGTAGTATGCCATCTGACCATAAGTAGATTTTATCTAGTATCAGTGAAGTAGACCTTGTCTGATTTTTAGTGATGTGTTGTAGTAAGCCATCTCAAGTAGACGTTCTGATATCAGAGATGTACTGTAGTCAACCGTCTGAAGTAGACAGACCTTATCTGAAATAAGTACTGTTTTGTAGTAAATCTTTTGAAGTAGACCTTATCGGATATCAGTTTTGTATCGTAGTGAACCATATAAACCATGTAATGGTATCGATGACTTATACTAGGAAGCAATCTGAAGTTGACCTAGTCAGGATATCGAACGTTCACAACGGAAATAATACGAAGTAGGTCTTTGTAATATATCGAACGTATCAATCTTAATTAGACCTTATAGGACTGATTGAGTAAACTATCGAAGGAAGCAACTTGAAGCAGGCGTTACAAGTAGCCAGTGGAATATGAATGAAACCAATCTAAAGCAGGGTTTCAGTGGAAGTTAACGAAATGTAGAAAGCCCCTATTTCTAAAGTAGTCGTTTTACATAAAATACCGAAGGATTATAGCTGCGTGAGGAGTTGTATGAAAGTGGCGAACGGCACTAATCAAGATACATAAGTTAAAAATAACAATTATAATTGATTTCTCTCGCGCTGAAATTTATCGCTGATCAATCTCATATTATAATTCCAGCGTGTGATATGCCTCAACAAAAAAAGCAAATAAACCATAGCCTTCTAAAAATACAAATAAACCCTTTGTTTATTTGGGATCGTTAAGTTGGTTGTCTCTTTATATTCAGCATAGCCCCGGTATGTTCGTCAGCTCTGTAGCGGTACTAGCTAGCTAACTCGGGCGCGTAATTGCGCTAAGAATTGAAAGTACAGAAGCTTGGCCATTCAATCACTAGCTCGACCAGCTCGACCATTCAACACTTTACCGGTTGGCCACGGACCCATGGCCCTCGGCTATACTCTAAAAACTTGTGGATAGATGAAGATATGGGTTTGTCTCTTCTATTAAATAAATAGAAAGAGATTAGAGAGGGCATATAAACTTTCTTCTAAAATATGACCCTCTCTCTACTAGAGTAGAGAGAGAGAGAGAGGGAGAAGAAGAATATATGGCTGAACGGACAAACGTCCGTATGTATGCAGGACTCTAAAATAGACTGAATTATATTGTCCAAGGAGAGAATCTCTCTCTACTAGAGACTAGTAGAGAGTAGAGAGTCGAGACTCGATTATTGTCCAGTGTCCAGTATCTATCGCCCAAATAGAGTGTATGCTCACCTCATCAGTCTCATTGCAAATAGGCTGGGCCGCTGGGACCTTTCTGGAGGCTGGAGGCTGGACAGCTGGAGTCTTGAGAGTCGAGACCTGTTGGCTGTGGCCTGTGGCCTGTGGCTGTTGGTGGTAAATAAATAACAGAGCTAAAAGGCTGCAATAGCCGTCCATATTCGGTATTCAGTTTTGGCGGCCTCGTATTGTTAATTTACAATATTTCTTTTGGTGTCGATAAAATTAAAAATCGATTATTCTCATCGTCTCATGACCTCTTCAGACATCTCTGACATCAGACCTCAACTCATAGCCTTCTTCTGAAAATTACACTCTCAACTCTCAAGTGTCTCCACTCCTAATGATTTTTGGTAAAGTCCCCAATACAACAAGAGAAGAGAGAAGACTGAAGAGAGAGTATAAACGAACATAGCTTCCCCTCTAAAAATAAAAAAAGAGAGTCGGCACATAGTACTATATACAAATATATAAATACATAGAACACACGAACAGTATCGACTTGACAAAGCGAATCTCGCACAGATTATATTCTAATTCATTCCAGCATGATGGATGGAAAGCTAGCTCTGGTCACAGGGGCATCGTCCGGTATAGGGAAAGCTATCGCACAAAAATTAACACAAGAAGGTGAGCTACATACAAAAAAAAAAGCTATCAACTGATTCACGTGTGTAGCTATGGAAAAATTCACGTATGTACACTAGAATATGTGCATATATGTATATATATATATATATATATATATATATATATATATATATATATATATATATATATATATATATATATATATATATATATATATATATATATATATATATATATATATATATATATATATTATATTATTATATATTATATATATATATATATATATATATATA